AGTGCTGTGTGTGTGTGAGAGTGCTCTGTGAGAGTGCTGTGTGTGAGAGAGAGTGCTGTGTGTGATGGGTGTGAGAGTGCTGTGTGAGAGAGAGTGCTGTGTGTGTGTGAGAGTGCTGTGTGTGATGGGTGTGAGAGTGCTGTGTGAGAGAGAGTGCTGTGTGTGAGAGTGCTGTGTGAGAGAGAGTGCTGTGTGTGTGAGAGTGCTGTGTGTGATGGGTGTGAGAGTGCTGTGTGAGAGAGAGTGCTGTATGTGTGTGAGAGTGCTGTGTGTGATGGGTGTGAGAGAGAGTGCTGTGTGTGATGGGTGTGAGAGTGCTGTATAAATGTTATTGTGTGTATGTAGGGGGGGTAAATAAAAAAAATAAAAAAACAGGTATTATTCCCCCCCCTCCCTTCTTACCTTTAGCCTGGGAGGGGGGACCGGCACGCTGGGACTGGAGGCGGGGAGGCAGTGTTCCCTGGTGGTCCTCGTGGGTGAGTGAACTCCTCGCGAGATCCGGTCGTTGCCATGGCAACGCGCCGGATCTCGCGAGAGGATCCCGGCGGAGCCGCATATTAGAGCTCCACCGGGTCCTCTCTCCAGCCTGGCTGGCTGTCTCCCTCCCTCCCCGCCGGCGGCCGCATGTGGGCCGGTGAGGGAGATCTTTGATCTCCCCACGGGCCCGTCGTGGCAGACAGCGGGGCCGGCGCTAGGAGAGTGCCGGCCCTGCATAGACCGGCAGGGGAGATCCTGGGACCTCCCCTGCCGGCCTCGGCCCCACGGACACCGCGGCCCACCGGGCATTTGCCCGGTGTGCCCGATGGCCAGTCCGGGCCTGTGTCATAGTATATTTATTTATTTATTTATAAAATATTTTACCAGGAAGGATACATTGAGATTTCTCTCGTTTTCAAGTATGTGCTGGGTCCACAGAACATTGCATTGTTACAATAGGATACAATATTACAAAAAAAACAATATACAAACAATATATATATATATGTATATATATATATATATATGTATATATAAATGTAACACATAACAGGTGATACATATATTCAACCATGACAGGTGCATTCTTAGCTGAGGTATATTACCATAGATCTCTTAAAAGATTTTAGATTGAATGAAGATTTGACTGTGTCCCTGAGGTTATTCAATAATTACGGTGCTCAGTAGGAAAATGAGGATTGTGACACTTTATTTTTGTATTGCGGTATGCTAAATATCGTGCTAGAACTGGATCGGAGGTTATAGGAGGTGGGAACACCCGGGGAGAGCATTCTACTCAGGTAGGGTGGGAGCATCTCAGAAATGCTCTTATGCACAAGGCTGGAAAGATGAAGAGTGTGCCAGGATTCTAGCGACAGCCAGTTTAGCTCTTTTATCATGTCACAGTGGTGGGTAAAGTATATTTGATAGAATGTACCAAACATCACTATTTGACTTATTTAATGCAGTGAAATACATTTTTTTTTTTTTTTAAAGCTGTAAATTTATTTTATACACAGTCACCTATGCCCCTTGTGAGAAAGTACAATTAGTTGGGGGTTTTTAAGTGCTATTTGGAAATTCACTGGCAATGATTCAGTAATTAGTCAAACTATGAGTGATGGAATGTAACCAAGCATAAACGTTTCACAAAGCATTTCGGCAATGTTTACCTAAGCTGTTAAATTGTACCATGGAATTATGACTAATACTATTTCAAATAACCATTAACAAAGTGTATGTAGCTTTTAAGAATATATCATTCAAGATATATATATATATATATATTGTTTTTGTCAGCCTATCACTTTTTACAATGTGCCCCAATATTGCTGAATTCTAGCCTTATTTTGAAATATATGTAGAAACTATAACAATGAAAGCAACTCTCCTACAAAAGCATGTTTTATGACATGTACAATGGAGCACCTATGTGTAAAGCCATGTGTTTAAACATAATACTAACATCAACTTCAAAGCTCACAAAAATTAGTCAAAAATTATGTGGATTCAGATATAGTGCTATCTTTGCAACCTAATGCCTTTTCTTGTGAGATTAATCGATTTACTTGGGAAATCTTTCCTCCTGGGACTCTATGCAGGTCAAGGTTAAATAGGGCCCTAAATGAGGCACCTGTGATGGAGAGGGTGGATGCCAAGTCTAGGCACCCCTATACGCAAACTTAAAGCAAAGAGTATCATATACATATTGATGAGCAGCACATGAAAAGAGTAGCCCTGTAATATGTAGAATTCAGAAGATGGTGTATAAGATTAATCAATTAGGCTATGAAGAATCCTGCAGAATATACATTGTACATACTGCAGGACAACCCTTTTTTATGCGTTTTCATAAATATGGCAAAATTATATGTGTCTAAAATATGCCTGCACTACAGTAAAAAATATCTTGTAGGGCCTGGTGCTTGTCCACCTAAAAATATATAGGTTGAAAATGATAGCACTCCAGGGACTTAGTAAGGGTGAAAAAATAAAATGTAACTTTTATTCTGGTTGTATGCCAATAAAACCGATCGACGTTTCAGTTCATCAGGATGAAAGTTCATGTATTGAACTGGAACATTGATCGGTTTTATTGGCATACAACCAGAATAAAAGTTAAGCTTTATTTTTTTCACCCTTACTAAGTCCCTGGAGTACTATCATTTTCAACATATGTATATCAAAATATTTGCAAAAAAATACTTTTGGTGAATTTAAAAACGAAGAAAATATATAGAT